GGGGGAAACCCCCCTCCCCGCCTCCGTGGCCCCCAAGATCGCCAACAGCAAGTTTGCCAACGGCAAGACGGCTAAGGTGCCCCAGTCCTACCTGAAAGCGGTGGTGAGCTCCAGCCCCAGTGTGCAGACGCCGGCCATGTCCTGGGGGGTCCGCAATGAGAAGGTGGCTGTGCGGGCCTACGAGCAGCTGAAGTCGCAGGCCGTGGGCAAGCCGGTGCAGGTGGAAGACTGCGGCCTCTTCATTCACCCAGAGAAGAGCTGGATCGCTGCGAGCCCGGACGGCATTGTCAAGGAGGCGGCCACGGGGAAGGCCCTGGGGCTGCTGGAGGTGAAGTGTCCCTACAAGCACAGGAACAGGACGGTGCGTGAGGCCTGCAAGGACAAGGACTTCTGCCTGGAGGTGGATGGGGACTCCTATGCCCTGAAGAAGGATCATGCCTATTTCACCCAGGTCCAGTGCCAGCTGGCAGCCGCCGGCGTCCAGCAGGCTGACTTTGTGGTGCACACCACCAAGGAGACAGCCGTGGTCCCCGTGAAGTTCGATGCCGAGTTCTGGCGGCAAACGGTGCCCAAGCTGGAGAAGTTTTACACCGAGGCGGTGATTCCCCACCTGGAGGGGAAGGCAGACGGCTCCGTCTGGGCCAAGGAGGAGTAGACCCCCCCAGCCTCGCTCACCAGGATGCTCGCTTGGCTGCGCAAACCCAGCTTTGGCCCCTAGCATAGAAATTATGCCTGGTTTTGCTGTTGTTCTTGGACTGTTCGCTGCCTCTGCCCCAACGCAACTGCCTTGGGACTGAAATGATGCACCAGCAGGTAAGGGTCCCCTCAAACAGTGACTTCTTCCTGCCCCAGCCAGGCCAGCGCTCAGCCCCCAGTGCCTTCTTGTCCTGTCCCTCTCACTGCATCCCCCATTTGACCCGACAGCACTGCCCGATGGGAGCTGGCACACCTTTGGATCTGCAGGGGAAGCCAGTGATGCCTCTTTACTGGAATAACACTTATTTTGTGGAGAAAACTAGATCCTTTGGCACCTCAGCTGCTGTCAGGACTAAATCGTAACTCCATTCTGGAGTGGGGACAGAGCCAGGGAAGGTTTGTCAGAGCCCAAGAGCAAAACACAGCTTTTGAGGTAGTGATGTGCCTTAAGAGTTGCAGCAAGGGCATGTGGACACCCCGAGCTGTCAGACCTGCTGTTTCTTTGGAGTAACCCATGATGCTCATCATGAATTAGCGGCAGCCTCAGGAAGACGGTGCCCATTGAAGAGGTCTCCAGCCCACACAGCTCCAGAGGATGTTCCTGTGGAGCAGCCCCATGCGCCGCAGCAGGGCGGGGAGGTGGGCGTCACTATTAAATACAACATGCACTGGCCCGCTCGTTCCCTGTTGTTTGTGCAGCTCGTTGTTTACCTGGGG